TCACAAGGACAGATCAAGGGTTAGCTCAACTTTTGTCTGGTTGTTGCTGAACATGCACAATGTACCAGGCATACATGGGTGTTGGGTTGCAAAGTCCTTTCCTTCATAAACCCTAAATTTTATGCGGGTGGGGAAGAGAGGCTGAGAACACAGATGGCTCATGAGCCTTCTGTTAGCTGACCATAAATTATGAAGAAAAATTGAGCAGGCTCTGGGGATAGATGGTGATGATTAGGGAAGCTGGAACCATTTCCTACCTTCTGATGGCTATAGCAGAGCCCTGAAAGAAGTGGGGGACTTCCGAAGGTATAGAAGTGTGTTGTGGATGAATGTGTTCCCTCCCCCAAGTCCAGATGTTGAAGCATTCACCCTTATATGATACAATGATTTTCAGAGATGAGATCTTTGGGAGGAAATTAGGTTTATTTGAGGCCAGGAGGATGGGAACCCTTATGACAGTATTAGCATCTTTGTGAAAAGAAGACACCACGGTGCATCACCCACACCCTTCCAAGCAAGGGCTCAATCCTCACCAGGAACTGAACCAGCTGATACCTTGTTATTGGACTTCTCAATTTCCATAATGGAGTCCTTACTACATATCTGTTGATGCCTAAGTTTTGAATTACATGGTCTTCAGAACAGTGAGGAAGATATGTCTATTGTTCATGCTGCCCAGTCTGTTAGTGTAGCTGGAGTTACAGAGACATAAAAGGAACAAAGTCAAAGGCTCTGAAGGCAGGAAGTGCTTGGACCTCACTGGAAGAGCAGGGGGTGCAGTGCTGTCTTTCAGGAAGGAGATGAGACCCTGGGAGAGGGCAGGGTTGCCTCAGGATAAAGCAGAGGGGCATTTTCCCTTGGGTTCATTGATGATTTTGCAGGGTTTGGGAACTGATATGATCTGATTCATGTTTTTAAGATATGGACTTGGCTTGAAGAAAAGGATGTTATTTAGGAGGGGAGTGAGATGGTGACTGGAGTAGGGTGACTCCTACTGGAGTAGGAAAGAGTCATGAGGAGTGGTCAAGGTGGGTATAGTTTGAAGGCAGAGACCTGGGATTTGCTGAGAGATTGCATATGGCAATTGGAAAGAGAAGAAGCAAAGGATTGCTGCTGCATTTTGGGGAGCAAAGCTCTAGAAAATGATTGGGAAGGAAAACTTGTGGGCCCATGCATGCACTGTGCACTAGAGTGTGTGTGTGTGTGTGTGTGTATGTGTGTGTGTGTGTGTGTGTGTGTGTGAGCTCCAGGTGAAGCCTGAGATTCCATCACACAGCCTGTGGAGGCGAAGAGGTTGGTCACAGGACTCTGGATTCAGGGAAGAGATCCAACATGGAGATCACTTTCGTGATTCACCAGGAAGACGGGCAGTTGTTTGTGGACTTCTGGGAAATTCTCAGATGACTTCTCTGGGTTGCGATGATGAAAGTGGCCTTAAAGGAAGGAACGTGCTAACACTGACTTGAGCTTACGTTTGTAATAAGCTAAGTACTTCATATGCCTCACCTCACTGAATCCTCACCTCACACTCCCTTAATAGCCCAGGTTTACAGATTAAGGAAACTGAGGCACACAGTAGTGAGTCAGTCACCACAATTCATTTTAAGAAGTGCTTCACTCTGGGCTGCTGGTGTTGGCCTATTCCCTGGTAATCCACTAGGGTACCTGCACACACCACACTCTAGGACTTCAGTCTTTGCACCGGCCCATTCAACAGCTGGGCGTTGTGATAAAAGTCATGGTGGATATAAAGTTGGACAGCACAGGTTCAAGTACAGACTCTATTATTTACGGGATGCTTTGCTAGGGGAGAGCAGTTTGCATGATGTCTTCCAGGAAAAGGTTTTGTCATGCCTGCTGTCTCTGCTTCACCATCAGCTTCTTCTCCAGGTGCCCACCAGTCAGCTTCTGCCAGCCTAACCCCTTCTAGCCAACTTTTATTTTCTGGCCGTGCCAGCCTGATTACTTCTAATTGCCTTTGACTGCTTCCAGCTGGGTCTTGTAGCTGGTATTCTGCAGGAGCACCAGGCAGTCTCTCAGCCATATGGAAGGAGGAGACGGGAAAGGAGAAGAGGAAGAAGGAGGCAGCTGGTACGAGTCAACTGAGACAGTCCTCTCAGGCTCGCTCGCCAGCTCATTTTGATTGGTAATGTTTTTGAAAGGGTTAATTCATCCAAGTTCAAGAATAGCTCCTCTTTGTCAAGACAAATGATTATATTTGTCGATCCCCAAATACAACCAGCAATGTAACTGAAATGCTTTTTAGAAAGTGACTACTACTCTTTCCTCCAGGACATGCAGGGCCCAAAAACTTCCCTGAGTATCATTGAATTCTCACCTTCATTCTTTTATTTCACAAATATTTATTGAATGATGACCATGTCTCAGGCACTGTGCTAGGTACTACAGGGCAAATAAAAATAGACTTCACTGCAATGCTTGCCTTCAATCAAAGGGAAGAAAGACATTCACAGTGAGTAGTATGTTAAACACAAGGAGATGATGACATGAGCACGGTGTGGTGAGGGAGGACACAGGGGTGTGGTGAGCTTCTTGCAGCTTGCTGGCCAGGAAGGGCTTCATGGGTCAGGGAAGGAAACATGCTAGGAAGAACTGGGTCAGAGGAAGTAGATGGGCTGGTATGGTATAGGTAAGGACTGGCTTGGATGAAGATTTCAGCTGTAATGTCCAGAGGGGCTTCACCGGAGTGAGGCTGGAGTTTGGTCGGGGACAGGTAAAGTAATCTTCAGCACTGGATGACTGCCATTTAAGCGGGTCGTTTCTACCCATCTAATAGGAGAGCAGTGCATGGTTTTATGTTCTAATTTCTCTTATAGAATGGAAGTTCTGATATCATTCCTTAAAAAGCAAGGCCATTTCAGAGATCAGGACCTGCAGCTCACAACCAGTTACTGAGCTCAGGCAGAGGTGGGATTTGGACTTCTCTTTGGCATTCATTCAAGCTGATGGAATAAGCAGTGAGCTTGAATCAGACCAGGCAACAGGCTTGAAATGATGTAAGAGGCCTAGATTTTTTCTCTTTACCCCTTTCCTGACCTCCACGCTGAGGAGATAATTAAGACATTAAAAGGTAAGAAAATCGCTATTTCATTGTAAATGTCTTCTACCATTTGGCGGGGCATTATGTTTTGCTATCTTTGAACAGTTTCTGAAATTTGCCTTAAACTCTAAATCTGTAAATTTTTGTACAGAATTAATATGCTAAAATAAAAATTCAAATTAATACTTTGGGGAAGTACCAAAACTTTTTCTGATGGACGACTTAGGATAGGTTTGAGCTTGGAATGAGCTCTGTACTCCTTTTTCATTACACATTTGTTGTGCAGCAACTCTGTGGGCCCTGCTAGTTACTATTCCTACCTATGTTACTGTCCTCTTAAAATCTGACTACTGAATTAAACATGAAATGGAATGAGCTCTCAGAAACTGTAGGGGTAGGGTGGGGGATAAAGAAATCCCTTAGCTTTAGCAAGAAAAAAAAACTAACATGTGTGAACTTCTTTAATGTGGGAAAATGGGAACAATAATCTGACCAATGGAAAACACAACTGTGCTCTGTCATAATAAGGCTTGTAACGTGTGGCATGCGTGTGGCTCAAAGTAGCATATTTAAAATAATCTCTCTTTAAAATAGAACATAAGCATTTATTTTGAGTCACTTTTTAGATGGGGTCTGAGAGTCCCCAAGCCTGGATTAAGGACAGCTGTCTGGGCCATCCCCCATTGCAAAGAGCCAAGGAGGATCCAGGGTGCCACATTCCTTCACTGAGGGGTAAAGGATAGAAGGAAGTTTGCTAGGATCGTAGCCTCCCTTCCAGCCCTGGTGTGGATGCTCAGGGGTGAAGTCTGAGTTAAACAGCCAGGGCACACTTCAACAGGTAGCGTTTTGCAAAGGCCTCCCTCCTACCCACAACCCAGCGCTTCCCACAGGACTGCTTGTTTTTGGTTCGGGAAGACCGTGGGGTGGGGGGTGGGGATCCTAGAGAGGGTCAGTGTCCTCAGAGCTGCCGCAATTGTTTACACGAAGTGAGCACAGTCACAGTGCTCATAGAACAAAAGCATCGAGGAGCGGCGAGCGCTGGTCCAGCTCAGTCTGCAGTCACGCGCCTTGTTCCAAGGCAAGGAAAAAGGTGTAAACGCCCTGGCTGCTAAGCTGCCACCGCTACTATTGACCATCGAGGCAACCCCTCTTGTAAGACAGAGGTCGGGACTGCGTGCGAGCCGGGGCACATGCCCTGCCAGCTGTCCATCCTTCCATCCATCCATCCATCCATCCATCCATCCATCCATCCATCCATCCATCCATCCGTCCGAGTCCCAGGTGCGCCAAGCTCCCAGCCCAACCCACAGCTTCTGGGGTTCTAGAGCTTCTGCCTCCTTCCCCACGCCCTGAGTAGGTGCGAGTGGAAGGGCGATCCCACTGCCAAAAGGTTCAGAAAGCTGGAGTCCCGTATCCTGGCGCGCCGCGCGGCCGGTGACTGCCCGCCTTGGGAAGCTCGGGAGCGCGCGTCTCCGAGGCCGCGCAGGGTCCCCCAGTCTGGCGCTCAGGTGGCTCTGCCGCCTACTCTGCCGCTCCCCTCCCCTCTCTGGAGAGGGTAGAGTTTGGCTGTTGCGCGCGGGGAAGGAGGGGCTACGCGGGATTTGAAAGTGCCCAGGCTGCCGAGCAGAGCTCGCATCTGTTCCCGCCGCCCGCCACCGGATTAAATTTCTGCAAATTCAAACTGAATGGGGCTTTCTTCTGCTGCCTTCCAGAGGGCGCCTGCAGCCCGCCGCGCGCTCCTCTCGGACCGGAGCGGCCGCTTGGTGCACGGATAGGAGCGACTGAGTCGGACCCGAGCCCGTGCCGGCTACCTAGCCGAGGCGGCGGAGGCTCTGGGGCCCTGGGACCCCACCACGAGGTCGCGCCCCACCCTGGCCGGTGCCGCTCCCGGCGTACCCGAGCTGCGCTCCTGTCATTAGCCTCCTGGACGGGACCGGGGGCGGGATCTCAGAGTCCCGCCAGCGGCTCAGGCGACCTTCCGAGGCAGAACTTCTTGGGGGCGGGTCCCGGGCCGCCGCTATTGTCTGTGCGCCGCGCTCTGTGGCGCTGGGGGCGTGAGCGTCGCGAATCCCGGCGCTGGGTGCAAAGACCCGGCCAGGCGCGGGGAGACCCCAGGCGGCGGCAGGCGGAGCCCGGGAGCCCCAGCAGGAGGAGCAGCAGAAGGAGGAGGCGCAGCGGGCGCGGGACTGTCGCCGGAGCCGCGCGGGCCGCGGACGAGCGTGATGCCGGCGGCGGCGGGGGACGGGCTCCTGGGCGAGCCCGCGGCGCCCGGGGGCGTCAGCGGCGCGGAGGAGGCGGCCAGGCCGGCGGCGGCCTGCGAGGGAAGTTTCCTGCCGTCCTGGGTGAGCGGTGTGCCCCGCGAGCGGCTCCGCGACTTCCAGCACCACAAGCGCGTGGGCAACTACCTCATCGGCAGCAGGAAGCTGGGCGAGGGCTCGTTCGCCAAGGTGCGCGAGGGGCTGCACGTGCTGACCGGAGAGAAGGTGAGGCGTTGGGGCGCGGAGCAGCTGAGGGCGCAGGCACCCGAGCCCCGAGCGCGTCCCGGGCCGCGCGCCCCCTGCGCCTGGCTCTCCTCTCAGGGTAAAGAGGGGTCGAGCCAGGCGCACGCTCGGGCCCTGGCCTTAGGTTATCTGGGGTTCACTGATACGTGGTCTCCGGTCAGTTCCCAAGGCGGGTAGCTGGGGTGGGGTGGGGTGGGGGTAGGGGTAGAGAGGGGATGGGCCGATTTACCGGCGAAGCTGCCCCACTTAACCTTACTGCTTTTAGAAGGGCGCCGCCTGGCGGACACCAGCGCGGGGCTCGTGGCCTAGAGGTTGGGTTGGGGGTTCCACTTCCTAGGTGCGCAGGAGAGGCAGAACTCTTGTGAGGCAGGACCCAGAGCTGGAAGGCATGGGGCCAGGGTGGAGGCAGGCAGGAGAACCCATCAAGCAGTCCTTGGGGTTGCTTCGAGTTCCGGGGGTAGGGGGCGAGGCCCAGGTCCTAGAGCCATTCCTCTCCATCTGGGGGCTGGGACAGCTAGGGAATGTTTCCTGCAGGAGGGTTGCGCGCGCGCGCACCCCCCCCACTTCCTGTACCCCACCAGTCCATCCCCCCATCTGTACTTCTCTCCCACATGCACCTACTTTCTCCCTCATTCTCACCCCCAATCACTCTCATCCCCTTTCCTCCTCCTTTATCTGTCCATGTCCCACCACCTCCTGGGTGGGAGGTACAGTAAAGATTGCTTCTGGCAGACACAGAACTACCTACAGATACCCCCAAACTTTAGAGGTCCGGAGGTTCCCTCTTCTGTTGCTAGAAGAGGGGAAATCAGAGGAGGAGCCCCCTTTCCACAAAGACCTAGAAGGACACTTCTGTAGCCTAGTCAGCAGTTAGATGGCCAGGGGCAGGTGGGCCTCAGTTAGACTTAGGTCTGTGAGGAGAAACACCAGCCACGGTGATTTCCTTTGGAGGCTGGGTCTCCTGGGTGGGGTGGGGGTGACTTTCTCACACCCTTGAGTTGGCCCACGCTTCCAGTAGTTCCAGGCTGCTAATTTTTGGTCACCTTGGATTCAAGACTGGCCAGGCTGGGGGTCTCACACTGGAGTCAGGGGTGGCCTTTTCACTGGGAGGAAGGAACTTGGGGTTTCCTTACTGGGCAAGAGTGGGACAGATGAGCCTTCTGCCTGGGACTCTCCCACACTGTGACAGAGCCAGCCACCCTCCTTTCCCTTTCCTCATATTTCTCTCCATTTCCCTGCTTTGTCCTGGAGCCTTGGGTGCAAATTTATGTCACCCTGACCATTCGTCTGGTGTTTATAGCTGTTCAGGTTAGGGTACTCCTTTATTTTAGGTAAGCCTGGTTGTGATTGATAGTTTTAAAGCGCCTCTGGCCTGAGTTACCATGCAAAAAGGGAGTAAGTGTGAACTCCCCTGAGTACAAACCCCTCTCACCTCACTCTCATGCAAAGGGAGCCAGTGAGCCAAACTTTCTTCCTAGCTTGCAGCGGGCTTCTTTTGTGCACTGCACAGTTGGTGGGGTAGGATTGGTCTTCGATTAGGATCGAATGGACCCAGTGAGCTCACTTGTAGTGTCTGTGTGGAAATAGATGCTAGAAGTTTATTTGTGTTTGAAGTGTAGAGGGTTGAGGCCTGTGGTGCCCATTTTCTCTCTACAGGTAGGCAGAAAAGGTGCATCTGTGTGCAGACCACACAGTGGCAAACACTAGGAGTCCCTGCATCTCGCCAGTCCTGCTGCACAGCTTCTGTTGGCCCCTCTCCATGTCCTAGTGCTGGGCTGTGTCTCAGGCCCTCCTAAAGCTCTTGGTCTGGGCTTAACTGCGTGAGGATGTATCAGAGCCCAGTCCTCATCTCCGTCTGGCCTTCTGGAGCCCTTGAGATCACCCCTTCCAGACCCAGAAAGTGAATGCCCCAATGTGTTCCAAATGAGGAGCCTGGTGACTTCCTCCATGCCCAGCCCCTTTTCCTCCTGTTCTTTCTTATCTTTCTTCAATGATAGTCTTATTTCAGGCTTTCATTGAGAAGAGGTATTAACTGGATGTAAAAGAATTTCCCTGGGCCAACTAATTTGATCTAGTTAAGTACTGTGGTTCTTCATGGGGAAAAATAGGCTGGGGGAGGGTGTTTATGTTGAAAAATTTGGTTTTCCTGCTGTGTTTCTCTAGCATGAGAATCAGTACTCTGGGACTGGCTATTAGCTCAGTCAATTGCGGGCTCTAAAGAAACAATTGTGTCAATCGGGGTGTTTATCTTCTGAATCCAACACCTTTAATGCTTAACTAATAGATGTGGGGTGTAGCAGATTGTAGAGATTAAAGTGTATGCTTGGAAGAACCACTGGGTTAATGAACCCCATTCCCTGTCTTATTTTGAATATGGTCTTAATAAGCAGATCAAGGGGAACCCTTGATGTGAAAGCACCTGGAAGACACCTTCTCCCCACTTCTTCCTCTTTTGTTGGGGTACATACTTTTTGGATAAAGCACTTCACTTTGCTCCTTTTTTTTCTTACTTTTTTTTTTTTTTTAAAGACATTACATGGCAAGGGGAGTAGAATCATGGATACTGTAGTGAGAAATAGGGGTGTAGCCTCCCCAGCCACCTGGAAGGATTCCAGACACCTTGCCTTGGGAAATTCAGTTCATGAAACAGAGAAGGGTGATGAGGGACACCCCAGGCCTCATCTGCTTCATGGCTGCATTTTTGAACAATACATTTTGTTTTGACTGACTGGTGTCAAAATCCAGAGTATTGCTGATTGAAGGCTGCTGTGCACATGCGTGAGCCTGCGTGTGCGCACGTCGTATTGTGGGTTGTTGTACGTTCCCAAAACGCCTTGGGAGAAATCCTCTGTGATTTGCCAGGAATAACAGGCTGAGTGCACATGACAAAAGAGCCCCTTTCTCCTGACTCTCGGTTCAGGTTTTGATTGTATCTTTTCAAGAGTCTCTTTTTGCCAAGAGGACAGTGTTTTACCTGCCTGTCCTCTAAAGTTGTTTGTTTGGAAGGATTCTGAATCTAGATGACCCTTTTCCTGCTTGAGGGCCTAACTTTTGGGTGAGACCTGATTTTATCTTCTTTTGCCTTTCGGGTTATTGCTGCTTTTGGCCAATCTGGCTTGAAAAAGAAACATTCATTTGGTGATGTTGAAATTCCTAATAGGTACCTTCTCAGTCAGGGACTTACTCTGTTGAAGTTTCAACTGGGGAAAATGATCACACAATTAGATTCTTAAAAGTGTCACTGTGTATGGCTTTGACACAGTGAGTGAAGTTGCCAGCAGGGGTGCAGAGCCATGACCGGGAGAGACCCTGAGAGACTGTGGATGTTTTTCCTGACATGGTTCCTGATGCCTGTGACATGTGCAGTCTTTGGTACATAGAAGGTAATTATCATATCCTAGAAGGTTGATAAAATGTAGTTGGAAAAACTTGCTGCTTTGGCAGAAAGGCCAAAAGCGAAAGACAAATCAAAATAAAGCAACTCCCGAAAGCCAACCCCCCGCCCCCCAAGAAGCAAATAAAAAATGAAAACTGCATTATAAGAATAAATGGTTGCTACCATCATTACCTTGCTCTGTGATTAAGAGGCAAAGCTGGCTGTGTAAAATGATTGGTTAAGATATTTAAATATTTCATCCTAACCTTTGGTTACTTTTTTTTAAGCACGTGTTTGTCATTTTCATTAGTGCTGTTTTGGGGCTAAAAATAAGGGCTGCCTGCTTAGTGAGTTGCCAGTAATCTTTGGTAGAACACGACAGTGCCAGATACCTGGAGTGAAGGAGTTACTAAAAATACCATTTACTATGTTTTGCAGAGCAGGAAATATGACTAATTTTAGAGATGGCCTTTTGGCAGATCTGTTTTTAGCAAGTATTTCTGAGACAAACAGGTGCTAAATCCTGTATTTTTAAGTGGTAGAAACTTAAGGGGTAATAGCTCAGAAGAACAAGAAATGGTTAGAGAACTGGAAATTCCTATTACTTCTCAGCAGGGACTCTTGGCAAGAAGGAGGCGTTTGCAAAGCACCTGCTCAGTGTGTCCTGTGTGACAAGGCAGTGCCTATAATTTGCCGGATTGCAAGCTGCAGTTGCGGGTACATTCTTTTGAACTTCCTGCCCGGCCTCATCTTTTTGAAGTACTTGGGAATGATGGAAATTGGCACATAGGGCTTGGTTCCTAGTGTTCATTGATATAGGTCCTGTAAACTTCAAAGAGTACTTTGAGTCAGTACAATCAACTGTACAGCATGGTGCCCATGAAGAGTACAACCCAACATTTTCTCTGCAGGCCTTGAGTCACAGCTATAGGTTTGGTGCATCCCGATCTGATGTGAGTCTGCTGGCTGCTCCTGGGTAGTGCAGCAATCATCTGTCTCAGGGGTCATGGTCCCAGAGGTGATGGGAGTGTCAGTCACATTCACCCAAAGAGATTGGCAGGCTGGGTGTTTGTGAGCAGGTGGATTGGGCACAAAGTATCATTTGCCTTGGGATGTACACCTCTTTTTGATTATTCATGGTAACTGAGAGACTTGCTCTTTTGCTAAGTGCAACCCAGTTGGTGAGGCTTATTTTACCAATCTTCCTTTGCTCAGACTGGGCTCTGGTCACCTTCAAGTGCAGACGTCAACTGAATTTCATGCTCTGCAGTGAGGGTGCTGCTGGTTGGTAAGATGACCAGCAGGAAACAAGCTGCAGCTCAGGAGCTGAATACTGCCTGTGTAGGTTGGTACCTTGACAAACTGGACAAAGCCACTGTCTCTTCTTTATCGTAAATCCCAGCCCAGTGTTATTATGTTCATGGTTTGTTCAGGATCTCCCATACATTTTCTCATGAGATGGTAGAAGCAACCTTGCACGGGTGGAAACCAACTTGCTGGTATTCTTACCTTACTAAGTAGAATGGTTCTTCTCTCAGACTTTCTGTCAGTTTGCAGGGGTCTGCAACAAATCACCACAAACTGGGCAGCTTGTGCAATAGAAATG